GGGGTAGTGGTGTAGGGGGAGGGGGCGTGTGTTTTAGTGTGTGTGTGTGTGTGTGTGTGTGTAGTGTGTGTGTAGTGTTGTGTGTGTGTGGTGTGTGTGTGTGTAGTGTGTGTGTAGTGTGTGTAGTGTGTGTGTGTGGTGTGGTGTGTATTGTGTGTGTAGTGTGTGTAGTGTGTGTGTGTGTGTGTGTATGTGTGTCTGTCATCTCAGTTTAAGATCCTCAGAATATCTCAGTAAACACAGACTTTCTCAGACAAACCTTTAGTAACAGTCTGGTTGGTTGTATTGAGTTGAATCAGCTGACGTGAGTGTAGGTCATGTCAAGACACGTCCAGTGAGCTTAAAAGCTCCCGTAGGTAATTTTACCATGAATTAAAGTTAGCTTTAGGGATCGTTCAAGGCGAGTCTTTAAACCCTGGTCGCTTTATGAGGGTTTATAACTGACGTGGGTATAGTAAACGCGGTTTATAATACCTTCAAATTACATGTGCAACACTTGGGTATCTATTGCGTAAACGTTTCGCCCGCTCAGCAGTCTTCTTCAGTTGAATGTAGAGGATTGTGTAGTGTGTGGTATGGTTGTTAGTGGTTGCTAGTGTGTTAGTGGTTGTTAGTGGTGTGTTAGGGGTTGTTAGTGGTGTGTTAGTGGTTGTTAGTGGTGTGTTAGGGGTTGTTAGTGGTGTGTTAGGGGTTGTTAGGGGTGTGTTGGGGGTTGTTAGTGGTGTGTTAGTGGTTTTTTAGTGGTGTGTTAGGGGTTGTTTGTGGTGTGTTAGTGGTGTTGTGGTGTGTTTAGTGGTTGTTAGTGGTGTGTTAGTGGTTGTTAGTGGTGTGTTAGTGGTTGTTAGTGGTGTTGTTTAGGGTTTTTTAGGGGTGTGTTAGTGGTTGTTAGTGGTGTGTTAGGGGTTGTTAGTGGTGTGTTAGTGGTTGTTAGTGGTGTGTTAGGGGTTGTTAGTGGTGTGTTAGTGGTTGTTAGTGTATTAGTCATGTTTGTGGTGTGTTTGTGGTTGTTAGTGGTGTGTTAGGGGTTGTTAGTGGTGTGTTAGGGGTTGTTAGTGTATTAGTCGTGTTTGTGGTGTGTTTGTGGTTGTTAGTGGTGTGTTAGGGGTTGTTAGTGGTGTGTTAGTGGTTAGTATGTTAGTGGTTGTTAGTCGTGTTTGTGGTGTGTTTGTGGTTGTTAGTGGTGTATTAGGGGTTGTTAGTGGTATGTTAGTGGTTAGTGTGTTAGTGGTTGTTAGTGTGTTAGTGTGTTAGTGCTGTTTGTAGTGTGTTTGTGGTTGTTAGTGGTGTTAGTGGTGTGTTTGTGGTTAGTGGTGTATTATGGGTTAGTGTTAGTGGTTGTTAGTAACGACCTTGTTCCCGCTAAACACATTAACTACCGCATGCCTGTTAGAGGGTATTAACTTGCTTGTTACACCCACACCCCACCATTATTAACTGTTGTATGCTTGTTAGAGATGCCATAGACCTGTGTAGCTGTTAGTTCAACAAGGGTTACAAAGGTACATATCATATGTATACCCAGAATGCTTTCATTTGCTAATAACGAAGTAATCTCAGTATATACACATTAATACACACCTGTGTAGAGGTAGCGACCAG